TGGTGCTGATGGTGTCCGGTGCAGTCCTCGGCGTCTGCTAGGAAGCATCCGTTGATGTAGGTGCCCAGCCGGGATGCCAGTTGGTCTGTCACAGTAGGTACTAACCACTGCTCAACGGTAAGACCCCAAAAGACTTCACATTTTGGAGTTGCTCTGACCTAATCATCTAGCCATCACTGTCTGGCCCTTATCAAGGTCACTCAGATATTTTCACTTGGCAACTTTTCCTTCTTCCAACACGTGAAATTCAAGAACTGAGTGTTCACTTACTGCCTAATATGTGTACCCTTGACACGTGCCATTGTAACAATATAGTCAATGTTATCCACTAAACTTGTCATTGGTTTTAATGTTGTGGTTGATCAGTGTAATTTTCTGTTTACTGAAAAAGCTATTATAAAGCTAAATTCACTGAGAATTCATATGAGGATGTAGTTCTCGTAGACACCAAATTGATAAAAATGGAATAACACATTCCGGGTTACCCTCCACATGTGCCCCCTTAATTGCCCTAAGCTAATATGCAAACTGATATTTTAGGTTAGAGTTCACAGAAACATTTCAGAGTCAAATTATGAGCTTAAAGTTCCCAAATACAAAATAAATAAAAATCACTGTTTAGTTGATATACTCCAAATGAAAACATGCATGTATTTAATTTTGCATTTTTTCATTGACAGCTTGCAAGAGCTGAAGATCTTTTGTCTGCTGCCTTTGCAAGTCCACCCCTTCTAACCTCACCCAGACTTATCATTGCTGTCCAATCACAAACTTCCCAATGCAGCACAATGAGTAGACTTTGCAAGGCAGGTGCTCTGGGCAATTACTGCCTCTTGAGTTTTGATCCACTGAGCTAAACAAACCAGGAAGTAACAGGACCTGTTATCTGCTTTAAAGCCAGGGGGTGTAACCAGGTGAAGTTATAAATGTGTCAATTTCTATTGTAATCTGCACTTTTTGTAAAATAAAAAAAGAGGGCACACTCTTCACACCTAAAGCATTTAAAGCAGGCTAAAGTGCTATAGGGGTCTGTTGTGTCCCTTTAAGACATAGACCAAAATGATGTATGTAAGCTGCAAATCATTAATATAAGTTGCACTACATGGAATTTATGAAAAAAACAACAATAAACCTAGAATAATAAATTCCATAAGAGATCATATAATACTATTTGATTTCTAGCTCTAAGTTCTCTTAAATACTTGGAGACAAATAACATCGTTGATCATATCATTTGAGATAATGCTACTTTAATGCACCATATTTGGAGTTAATTATACAGCTCAGTGTGGTGGCATTGCTGTGGGTGCAGGTTTTGATGGGAGTTTAAAAATCTAGGTTTATATAATATTCTGCATTAATTCAAAGATTTGCTGTCATAATGTGATTTGTACAAAATGGTAGGATTAAGGATAAAGGGTGGGGATTTGGAATGGGCTTTAGGCAATATATTTACCATTGTGCTGTAGACACTGGTCTTTTTACCACCTAACAATACTCCTGTGGATGATCATATATACATATACTGTTAAAATTATTAAATAATCTAGAAAGCTAAATGGTTTGCATATTCTATATGCAGGCTTGCTGCTTTATTTTGTGATGGGTATGTTTATATTTTTCTTTATGATTTATTCCCAAAAGAGTTTATTGGGATCACAGGCAAACAGAATTTTCAATTTAGGTACAACACAAAGCTTTCTCCAGTATAGCATATTTAGCCTTAATTTTGGAGCAGATCTAGAGCACAGAACACAGCATAATGTGTAATAATTAGAACAGTGATGATGCAACATTAGTAAAGAGTTTTTGTGATGACATATACACTGATCAGCCACATTAAAACCACCTGCCTAATATTGTGTTGCCAAAACAGCTCTGATGCATTGAGGCAGGACTCCACCTTTGAACATGTCCTATGGTATGTAGCACCAAGACATTAGTAGCAGATCCTTTAAGTCCTGCAAGTTGTGAAGTGTGGCCTCCTGGATTGGATTTGTTGTTCCAGCACAGAATCAGAATTGGTTTGAAACCTGCAGAATTTGGAGGCCAAAGCAACACCTTGAACTCTTTGTCATTTTCCTCAAACCATTCCTGAACAATTTCTGCAGTTTGACAGGATGCATTATCCTGCTTAAAGAGACCACCAGGGAACACTTTTGCCATGAAGAGTTTACGTGGTCTGCAACCATCTCTAGGTAGAGTACATCTCTGGTATGTGTCAACATAGCATCCACATGAATGCTAAGATCCAATGCAGAACATGGCTTAGAGCATAACACTGCCTCCGCCGGTCTGCCTTCTTCCTATAGTGCATCCTGGTGCCATCTCCCCCAGGTAAATGATGCACACTCACTCAGCCATCCTCTTAATGTAAAATAAAGCATGATTCATCAGACCAGGCAACTTTCTTTCATTGCTCCATGGTTCAGTTCTGACGCTCATGTCACTTGTGGTGGACAAAGTCATCATGGTCACTGTGACCGGTCTGCAAATATGCAGCCCCATATACAGCAAACTGTGATGCACTGTGTGTTCTGACACCATTCTATCATGGCCAGCATTATGTTTTTCAACAATTTGAGCTACAGTACCTATGCTGTGTGATTAGACCAAAAGGGATAACTTTCGTTTCCCACATGCATCAATTGGCCTTTGGCACCCATGACCCTGACATTGGTTTACTGGTTGTCCTTCCTTCCACTTTGTTTGGTAGGTACTAACCACTGCATATCGGGAACAACCCATAAGGCTTTTTGGAGATGCTCAGACCAAGTTGTCTAACCATCACTATTTGGCCCCTGTTCAAGTCACATCTCTTTGCTAGCTCATTTTTCCTGCTTTGAACACACGAAATTCAAGAATTGACTGTTCACATGCTGCTTAATATATCCCACCCCTTGACAGGTGCCATTGTAACAATATAATCAATGTTATTCACTTTACCTGTCAGACTTTTAAATGTGTGGCTGATCAGTGTAACTGAGTGTGTACACAGTGTCAGATTATTAGCTCATTTGGTAAATACTATAGCTGCTGTATCTATTTAAACTATGGATTGTGTCCACTTCAAATGGGTCATTTAATAGAAAATAGCATGGTATAATAATAATAATAATAATAATAATAATAATAATAATAACAAATTATTTAACCAGGAAAGTTACATTCAGATTACTCTGGTTTCCAAGTACGTCCTAGGGATGTTACTTTTGCCCAACAGTGGATGTTACTATGCATATAGATTATTTACAGGTCAGAGAATGATATAAATAGCAGGATATGTATGTTGTTTCCAAGGCATTGAATCGTATAAATAGCAGAATATATATGTCATAAAAACGTCATGGTACATAAAGTAGCAGGGTATGGTTGCTATGTAGAGGTCATTGATGTAAATAGGGTTTGTATGGTGGCAGCATCTAAAATGATAAGCAAGTATGATGATTATGAAATAGCAGAATAGAGTGAGGTAACACAATGTATAGCCTTACACCATATAGCTCTAAATAAAGACAACACATCACCTGACCATACCACCTACTTTCACACCACAAGTGTGTGAGAACATGGGCCTAGAGAGATAGCCATGTGTGAGAGCAGGAACTATGAGTGATAGCCATATGTGAGAACTATGATACAGAGAGATAGCCATGTGTGAGACTAAGAACTGTGAGTGACAGATAGCCATGTGTGAGGGCAGGAACTATGAGAGATAGCCATATGTGAGAGCAGGAACTATGAGAGATATCCATGTGTGAGAACAATGATACAGAGAGATAGCCACGTGTGAGAGCTGGTAGAGATAGCCACGTGTGAGAGCTGGTAGAAATAGCCATGTGTGAGAGCAGACATTTGTAAGAGTGTGGGTTCATCCCAAGAGTTAGCCAGAGGTGACAGCAGGAACCCAAAGAAATACCCTGTGTTATAGAAGGACTTATAGAGACAGTCATGCTGTGAGCAGAGACTCAGGGAGTTTGCCATGGGTGTGTGCATTTATTCTCAGAGAGCAAGCCATGTGCGTGAGCTTTGAATCTAAATGATGTGAGAGCCGTATGTGTGTGATCAAGTCCTCCGTGATATAACCTGGTGTGAGACACTTGATGATACTGACCATTACACAGGGCTGACCCAAAATAACTGGTATAATTACCAGGAGTACATGACTGGGTTAATCCTGCAGCAAGTCTCAGATATATAAAGTTTTAACGGATGCATAATAGACTTTGACATACTATGTCTTCTAGCTGATGTGCAACACAACTCTCATCAGGCTCAGCCAGCTAGCACTCTAGTTCGGAATGAATAGTGAAATGTAGAGAACACGCCATACAGAAAGAGATCTCTTTTTGCTAGACAACATTCTGTCTATATAACCGCTGTAACTGTCCATGGTCCTGAACCCAGGACAGACACAGCCAGGGATTAACCATGAAACTATGCTCTAAATCAAAGTGCAGGGTGGCATGCATGTGCGAAGGGTAAAATAAAATGTGTATTTGTAATAATACAAAGCACCTGGGACAGCTCTTAAACAGCAGATATGCAGTGTTTCCCCTACAGCAACTTGTCCAGTGGCAAAAAGACAGTGTGTCCCCCTAAAGCAGCTGATCCAGGGGCAGATAGACAGTGTGTCCCCCTACAGCAGCTGATCCAGGGACAGATAGACAGTATGTCCCCCTGAAGCAGCTGATCCAGGGGCAGATAGACAGTGTGTCCCCCTACAGCAGCTGATCCAGGGACAGATAGACAGTATGTCCCCCTGAAGCAGCTGATCCAGGGGCAGATAGACAGTGTGTCCCCCTACAGCAGCTGATCCAGGGACAGTTATCCGTTGCTTTGTGAAGATAACTGTTAGCTTTGAGAAGATTATTTGCAGGATTCTAGAACCCAGCTCCTGCCTGCTCGGCCCTCGGCTGCAGACTAAGAGGGGGGATGGGTGGGTGCAGCATTTACCCACGTGGAGCTCAGACAGTAAGCCCTCCCCTCTCGAAGCAGCTCAATCGGGCAGCAGAAAGCCGGTTCCTGCCGTGTTAGCGGATCTCCCTCTCTATATAAAGGCTGGGAGAGAGCTCATCCAGCGCTGTGAGCCACACACACCAGGAAGTCTTCCAGCATGAGTTACTCTCTGGAAACTATAGGAAGCCCCTCTTATAGGAGGATGGCCGAGACCAGGACCATCTACAGCCGGACCAGCAGCTCCCCATCCAGTGGCTTCAGGTCCCAGAGCTGGTCCAGGAGCAGTCCCAGCACCATCTCCTCCTATAAGAGGAGCAACCTGGCTGTCCCCAGAGGGTACAGCTCCAGTGACAGCCTGGACCTAAGCCAGTCCTCAGTCTACAATGGGGACCTCAAGCAAGTCCGATCCAGCGAGAAGGAACAACTGCAAGGACTCAATGACCGCTTCGCCGGCTACATCGAGAAGGTCCATTACCTGGAGCAGCAGAACAAGGAGATCGAGGCGGAGATCCAGGCCCTGAGACAGAAGCAGAGTGGACACAGCCAGCTGGGGGATATGTACGAAGATGAAATGCGGGAACTTCGCTCCAACCTGGAGGCTCTCAGCCACGAGAAGGCGCAGATCATGCTGGACACCGAGCACCTGGAGGAAGACATGCAGAGGCTAAAGGACAGGTATGAAGAAGAAGCTCGGATCAGGGATGACACCGAGGCCATGATCAGGGCTATGAAGAAGGACATGGATGACACGTCCTTGGTCAGGGTGGAGCTGGACAAGAAGGTGCAGAGTCTCCAGGAAGAGGTGGCCTTCCTCAAAAGTAACCACGATGAGGAGGTCAACGAGCTCCTGGCCCAGATCCAGGCTTCACACATCACGGTGGAAAGGAAAGACTTCCAGAAGACAGACCTGGCCTCCGCCTTGAGGGAAATCCGCTCCCAGCTGGAGGGACACTCCAACCAGAACATGGTGGAGACAGAGGAGGTCTTCAGGTGCAGGTATGCCAAGCTGACCGAGGCTGCCGAGCAGAACAAGGAGGCCATCAGATCGGCCAAAGAGGAGATATCCGAATACAGGAGGCAACTGCACAGCAAGAGTGTAGAGCTGGAGTCTGTCCGGGGAACCAAGGAGTCACTGGAGAGACAGCTGAATGACATAGAGGAGAGACACAACCATGACCTTATCAGCTACCAGGTGGGCCACCTTTTACCGAAGGGGAAACTCGGTTATCTGGGGTGCAAATTCCCTAAAATTGCTTTTAAATAGATGATAGAATGATACACGTATCCAGATATAAGTAACATGCACAATGTGTGATAAGACCAGAGAGTTACTTAGAAGTAGTGAAGACTTCCTTGTAAAGTTTTCTCTTTCTGAGAGGTGGAACAAGATGTTTAAGATTGTGTTGGGATGTGATGTAGATGTTGTGAATATATGAGATGTGGTCCAGGAGAGTGCATGATGTTTCAGTTCAGTTTATAGACACGTTTCTCTGTGAACCTATCTGATGGCATTATGGTTATTTATTAAGTTAGTAACTGCTCTGATATCTGCATTTAGTTGGGTTCTGTTATTCGCTGTTTTTGATTTATCATACATACCAATGTGATATCTTCCTGCAACCTTATCCTGTTGGTGGTTTTTGTTTTGGGGGGAGGGGGAGTAGAGGTGCAGGTCATTGGGGCGCACTGCGCAATTTGTGCATGTTCTGCAGTCACGTGCTGGAGTGGGTGTGTTGGGGTTCTGGAATGCTGAGCATTAATGCTGTGTTATGCAGGGGGTGTGGCGCAATGGGTGCGCTTGGAGCAGAGTGACGCAGTGTGTATGACTGTTCTTGACAGAGGGTGTGGTGCAATGACTGTGCATGTACTGTGTATGTGTGCTGTGTAGGGGGCGTGCTGTGATTTCATGCAATAACCCCTTGTGATCTATAAGCTGTGTATTACCATAATGCATTTCTATACATTGTGTCAGTGTAGGAGATGCTGAGGGTTTAGGTGTTAAAGGAGCACCATTGTGCTCCAAGGACACTGGAGGCAAACTATGCTCGCTGCAGCCCCCTCTGACTCTCCTCTCCTTTCCGTCTCTCCCCATCCTCCAGGAAACCATCCAGCAGCTGGACAACGAGCTGAAGGGAACCAAATGGGAGATGTCACGTCATTTGCGGGAATACCAAGACCTGCTCAATGTCAAGATGGCTCTGGATATAGAAATTGCTGCATACAGGTACCTGGGCACAGTCTGCAGAATATTAATAGCACTGCAGTAAACCAGCACGATGCAAACTTTCACATCCCAGGGTGTGGGAGGGGAACTAGAGGCTAGCCCAGCCTATAAGAGACCACACACAGAGCAATGCAGGAGTACCACAAACATAGAAAATTCAGCACCCCAAAAGCAAGAAATCAGGAGAACAGTAACAACAAAAACTCAATAAATACATGAGCAAAAGTTGAAAGAATACAAGAATCCACTGTAACAGCGCTATTTTTTCCTGTAAAATGATTACCCATTTTATGACAGGTGTACAGTGACCAGGAATATTGGTGAAATAGCTTAGACACCAGGTGCATAAAATAAAACTCCTACTTGCCAAGAGAAGCAATATACGTTTATATTGTTCAAGAACTGAACTAAGTAGCAAAAAAAGAATTCCCCATACATGAAATAGAATTACAAAATTACCCGTATACAAATCATAAATATATAAAGCACTCAGTACAAAACTATCATTAAAAAGCACAAGGGCAGTCAATGGCAGAATGGATCCAATAACACAACTGCCCTAAAAACTAATGCTGTGAGCTGTTTTGTATATCTATCAAAAATAATCAATTTTCTCTAAGTACATCTAAACACATGTAGTTATCACATAACAGAATAATACATGTCAGAATACATGGCTTCAACCTACATCAAAGTACAATAATCTGATTATTAGTTACTGTTACAAAGCATTTAGATTTAAACAAGGAGATATGTTTAAAGAGTAATTCCGGGGTAAAAAATTGAAAATAAACAGCAACAATCTATTGGCATATATAAAATTAATCTATCTGTATCAGAATTGCTATAGAACAAATATTCACTGAGTTACAGAATTTGCAAAGTGGAGATTTTAAAACTGAGATACTCTACCAAAAATTCTTTAAAGCTTTATATAGAAAAAACAAACATTATTTTATACCAATACATATGCCAGCAATGCAGGCAATGACCAAACATCACTATTTAAAAACTAACAAATGTTTTCCAAATATAAATTCTACAAAATGGAGGAGTGGGACATTATTTTGCACAATAATCAGATGTATTTAGATAATGTAATATAAAGGGAAACAGTTAAATAATGATAACTGGGATGTGAATTAAAACCAATGGAAACATCACAGTCCAAACCAAAGTCATCTCTAACAATATCTAATACAGGAAGTGCCCTAACTGGGTAGTAACAGGTGGTGCTAACCCCTCCCAATATATATTTCCTCAGATAGTAGAAATAGTGTTAGTTTTATATCTAATGAAAGTACAAAAGAATATTTTATACATGTGTAAGTATTGCAAGAATATTGAAATGTATATTTTTTTCTTTCCATAGGAAATTACTTGAAGGTGAAGAAACACGGTTTTCCACCTTCGCTGGCATGCACAGTCCTTCTGCTCCTCTCAGACATGCACCTATCTCTATGTCCTCCAGCAGAGTGCAGCATGTGAGATCAGAGCCCCCAAGGGTAAAAGTGCAGCACAAGTTCGTGGAAGAGATTATTGAGGAGACCAAGGTGGAGGATGAGAAGTCAGATATGGAGGCAGCACTGGCTGCAATGGCAGAAAGGTTTGCATCAGGCCTTCTAGATGAAGACGTAGAAAAAGAAGAAGAGGAAGAAGTTGAAGAAGCAGTTGAAGAAGCAATTGAAGAAGAGATTGTAGCAGCTGTAGAATCTACCATACAAGCAGCCGCACCTAAAGAGGAAGAGGCAGGTGAGGAGGAGGAGGAAGAGAAGGGAGAGGAAGAAGCAGAGGTAGAAGAGGAGGAAAAAGAAGAAGTAGAAGAAGAAGAGGGTGATAAAGCTGAGGATGAGACAGAAGAGGAGGGAGAGAAGGAAGAGGAAGTAAAGGAAGATGAAGAAGAGGAAGTAAAGGCAGATGAGGAAGAGGAAGTAAAAGTAGACGAAGAAGAGGAAGAAGGGAAAACCGAAGAAGAAGAGAAAGATGAGGGAGAAGAAGGGGATGCTGAGGAGGAAGAGAAAGTAGAAGAAGCAGAGGGTGAGGAAGAGAAGGAGGATGAAAAAGAAGAACAAGGAGAACAGGTTGAAGAGGTAGAAGAAAAAGAGGAAGGAGAAGCAGAAGAAGCTGGTGAGGCAGTGGCAGAAGAAGAAGCTGGAGAGGAAGAGAAAGAGGGTGAAGCTGAGCAGGAAGCAGAGGAGACAGAAGAAGCCCCAGAGGAGACACAAGAAGAGGAAGTAGTGGAAGAGCCAATAGTAGAAACTAAAATAGTTAGAGTCAAAACTGTAATAGAAACTAGAGTAGTCGAGGTTTCAGAAGACAAGAAAGTAGAGGAGGAAGAGACAGAAAAAGGAGATGATGAAGCAGAGGAAAAAGCTGAAGGAGAAGAAGAAGGAGAAACAGATGAAGTTAAAGAGGAGCAGGAAGAAGGAAAAGGAGAGACAGAGGAAGAAGGAGATAAGCAGGAAGTAGAAGAAGAAACAAGCAAAGAGGAAGAGGCTGGAGATGAAACAGAAGAAGTTGAAAAAGAAAAGAAAGTAGAGTCCCCTGAGGAAAAGATTGAAGAAGAGACAATATCTGTCTCCAAAGCAGCCTCTGTAGGATCACAGAAGGAAGAAACAAAAGATCAGGAAGAAGAGGAAGACAGTGCACCAAGGGAAGATGGGAAGGAAGACACTGCAGTGAATGGAGATGTAGAGGAAGAGGCAGAAGAGAAAGAAGAGAGTGAGGACAAGGGTGTAGTTACCAATGGTCTGGATGATAGCCCCTCAGAGGACAAGGACAGCAGCAAGAGCCCACAAAAAGTAATCATCACCAAGAAGATTGAGACTACAACCACTGAGGGTGAGGATGGAACAAAGTATATCACAGAGTCAGTAACAGTTACCCAGAAAGTGGAAGAACATGAGGAAACTGTACAAGAGAAAGTGGTGTCTACCAAGAAAGTAGAAAAAGTTACTTCACATGCAGTGGTCAAGGAGGTCACTGAAGACAAGTGAGGCAAACCTCATTATGTTTCCAGCAAGCAACAGGACTGAATAAGCCATAAGATTAACTGCATGTAAAGTGTCAGCTTCTAATGGGCTTCTAGCAGAAGGGGTTCTCTCGTGGGGTGGGGGCTCCAGACACTGTAATATTACTTTCTGTGCAATACTTGGGGGAGGGCAATGCATGCTAGCTCCAGATGTGCCCCTCCCACACAACTTTGGGAAATTACACAAAAAACAACTGCATGATATGTACAAGGAAGAAAAGTTTTGGGAGTTTCCTAAGTTGTAGTGGGCAAGGGTTATCGTGGTCTGGGAACTAGATTCCTAAAGGTTGTGAGCTAAATTATGCAAAGAACCAACTGAGCCAAAAAAAGGGGGGAGGGACCATGAAACGGAACTTTTATCGCCTTAATAAAATGAACCTATCCTTATGTTTACCTCACTGGTGCAATTAACAGACTGCAGGTCATGGGAGAACCTGGTTGAGTTTAAAACAACCTGCTATTGATTTATGTAATAGCAAACCTTGCTCAATAAAATGTCATATTGAAAAAATAATTTGAAATGTCTACTTATTAAAACAGAAAACTTGCATGCACTTGTTATGCCCGCAGTTAAAGTACTCTATTTAAAGATTCTCATCAATGTGTTTATATTCTATAAGGTCTTTGCTTGTTAAGGCGACACTATTGCTTTTCAGATGGGTATACAATGTATTTATAGAGTTCATCCCAGGAAACCACTGGAATGTTTACAAAGGTGCAATATGAAGTCTGAGTAATGAAAACAGATTGCCTTTTCAACCTGAAGTGGGAAGCTGAAGCCCACTTTCTGAAGATATTATCTTCATTTCTTATGTTTTACAAGTGTGCCCCTTGTGGTGCATTGTCACACTATGTACAAATGAGATGATACAATTACTCAGTTGATGTCAATTTGCCACAGACTGCAATTTTGCAAATGCATTTGCTGTCTCATAACTATATAAGAAAACATGTTAACATATAAATATACAGATATTAAATGGTTTTTTTTTCAGAAGTAATAATGATATATCCTTGAAAATATTAAATAAAAACTGAAAACCTCATAGCTATGCAGTATCAAAGCAATTTTTCCTTCTGAAATAAAAATGAACAAATCTCAAAGAACTGCACTATAGATATGAGACAGGGAATCTTAATGCTTATAAAGTTTAGACTCTCCAAATCAAATCTACACTCTAGTAGGGTTAATATGCGTCAACATGTATGTACTATGTGAAGGGGGAGAATGAGTGTGAGGGCGAGAAAGCAAAGAATATGAGGAACGACAGACAGAGGAAGAAACTAAAAATTTGGTTGGTCGAAAAGTATTTAAAATCATTTTGCATACTCCGTCTATAACACAGAGCTTATAGAGTGTCAACGTTAAATTTTCATGTTAAGTGTAATCCATACTAACATACATTTGGTGAAAACAACACTCCCTTAGCATTAGAATACTGCATTCATAAATTAAAAAGCCCCAATTACTAAACCGAGTTTTAACTCTTAAGGATTATTCAGTAAAACAATTTTAGGACTTGACAACTATTTTGGATGAGAGCTTTTGTTTTTCTTTCAATTCTTCCTTTGTGGCTTAAATCTTGAAAGTTGATCTCAAATCTTGCAAGGTCATCTCAAAAATAATACTCATCTAGTGTATTAACCCCATGGAAAATACTGTCTTTATAATGGCATTCTGATCACTCCAGTTCACATGCTAGTGGGTCAAGTCTGTATACCAAGAACTATGATGTAATAATAACTATCTTCCATTATACTTTCCTCATTTTGCATGTCTACACATGGAAACTAACCATATTAACTATCTTCTATATGAATCTATATTACATAGGGTATTTGATCCCTAATGGGAGTGATACTAATTCAGCACTTGGATGAATTGCCAGTTGATTGACAATTGGTACTATTGTCAACTTTAATTGCATACATTTCAACACTGAAGCATGAGAAGTCAGGAAAACCTGTTGGGAATACAACCTGCAATCAAGAGGAGATAACCACTATTTATCAGACAATTTTTTTTTTTTAAACAAATATGCAATAATTCCAATATCCTATTACAATGTCCTAAACTGGACTCACTCATAATTTAGGAAACATTGATATCTCTGTTACTTCCAAATATCAGTAACACCATATTTCCATATAAACTAATCCTACCACTATCCTAATACCCAAATATATCTACATATAATGTAATTTTAGTAAATGGATACTTAGAAGCTAAATAAAAACTTTACATAAGATGCTGTTCGAAAATGTCAGTGGATGTGTTCAGACTTAACCCCATCACCAATAGCTCCAGTATTGAGATAATTATCATCCACTCCAGAAATTTTTTTTTTATACTAACCATTTAGATATACATATGATTTATAAAACAATTTAATAATGAGATGGGGTTTATGAAGTATAAAAAAGGATCTGTAAACTGAAAACTCTCATGGAAAGCCCTACATCATCTGTATATCTCTCATTACTCATGCGCCAGACATTAAAGGACCACTCTAGGCACCCAGACCACTTCAGCTTAATGAAGTGGTCTGGGTGCCAGGTCCTTCTAGGGTTAACCCATTTTTTCATAATTATAGCAGTTTCAGAGAAACTGCTATAATTATGAATGGGTTAAGCCTTCCCCCTATTCCCTCTAGTGGCTGTCTCATTGACAGCCACTGGAGGCGTTTATGCGTTTCACCAAAATCACAGTGAGAGCACGCCAGCGTCTGTGGAAAGCATTGTAAATGCTTTAGCGAGACCGGGTTTTCGAATGCGCCGCTATAGCTCTTGCCGCTAAGCGCATTCAGCCGGTATGGCGTAACGGAGGCGAGAGGAGGAGGAGAGCTCCCGCCCAGCGCTGGAAAAAGGTAAGTTTAAACCCCTTTCCCCCTTCCAGAGCCGGGCGGGAGGGGGTCCCTGAGGGTGGGGGCACCCTCAGGGAACTATAGTGCCAGGAAAACGAGTATGTTTTCCTGGCACTATAGTGGTCCTTTAAACTAAAACGTTTGAGTGGTGAGCAGTTACAAGAAGTCTCGTACTGAGAATGAATGCGCGTCAATGAACACACTGTAATTTATTACACTGTCTGCTTCTAGCTAGAATTACAGCTTAAATAATATTATTTGAGGTGTCACTGGAATAGTTCTATAAAGTTGTAATTTATGATTTATCTCAAAGTGTCAGTTCAGGGAAGGGTTTATATAAAAACATTGAGGATAGGGCCAAAGCTAGATTTACATCGAGTGTCTGTAGGCCCAGAATAATAAAGCATCCCAATTACCCCCTCCCCCACACACACTTCCAAACTAATAAAAAAATAATAATTTTGAATATGATAAAAATAATTTATATTCATACAAATTATTTGATCAGTCACACATTAAAACCACCTGCCTAATATTGTGTAGGCAAAATAGCTGGCAAAATAGCTCTGATGTGTCGAGGCATGAACTCCACAAGACCTCTGAAGTCTTGTGGTATCTGGCACCAAGACATTAGCAACAGATCCTTTAAGTCCTGCAAGCTGCAAGCTGCAAGCTGCAAGGTGGGGCCTCCATGGATCGGATTTGCTGTTTCACCAAATTCCACATGCTCAATTGGATTGAGATTTAGGGAATTTGGAGGCCAAGGCAACATCTTGAACTCTTTGTTATGTTTCTTAAACCATTCCTTAACAAATTTTGCAGTGTGGCAGTAATCACCCTGCTGAAAAAATCCACTGTGGTGTACATGGTCTAAAACAATCTCTAGATAGGTGATAAGTGTCAAAGTAATATCCACATGAATACCTGGACCCCAGGTCCTCCAGCAGAACATTGCCCATAGGATAATATTGCCTCCGCAGGCTAGGCGGTCTGCCTTCTTCCCATAGTGCATTGTGCTTATATCTCTTCACCAGGTAAATGCCCCACATGCACCCAGCCATCCACCTGGTCTAAAAGAAAACGTGATTTATCAGACCAGACAATCTTCTTCCATTGCTCCATGGTCTAGTTTTAATGCTCACGTCCCCATTGAAGGTGCTTTAGTGGTGACAGGGGTCATCATAGGCACTCTGACTGGTCTGTCACTACACAGTCCCATTCACAGCAAACTGTGATGCACTGTATGTTCTGACACCGTCATAGGCGTGCGCAGCCTATTGCATTAGGGTGTGCACCCTAAAGCACAAGCACACGCCGCATATATTTATGTATGTATGTATATATATATGTGTGTGTGTGTGTGCTGTGTGAGGGTGCTGTTAGTGTGATGTGTGTGTGACGATGCTGGTAGTGTGCTATGTGGGTGAGGGTGTTTGTGTGTGCGTGCTTGTGAGGATGCTGTTAATGTACTGTGTGTGAGGGTGCTGTTTGTGTGTGTGTGTGCGCTTGTGAGGGTGCTGTTAATGTACTGTGTGTGAGGGTGCTGTTTGTGTGTGAGGGCACTGGTAGTGCGCTGTGTGTGTGTTTGTTAGGGTCCTGTTTGTGTTTGTGAGGGTACTGTTAGTGTGCTGTGTGTGTGTGTGGGTGCTGTATGTGTGTGGGTGCTGTATGTGTGTGGGTGCTGTATGTCTGTGGGTGCTGAATGTGTGTGTGCTGTGTGTGTGTGCTGTATGTGGGTGGGTGATTGTGGGGGGTGGAGGTGGGGGTACATAACTTGCTATCCCCCCCCTCCCTTCTTACCTTTTGTAGGGAGGGGGGATCGTGCTGCTGATTCCTTCCCTGGTGGTCCAGTGGAGAGTGAACTCTAGCCCCTGTGGGGCTAGAGTTCACTCTCGCGAGATTTGAGCGTTGCCGTGGCAATACTCATATCTCGCAAGAGGAACCCGGCGGAGCTGCCGGCAATAGCTCCGCAGGGTCCTCTCCTGCCTCACTCCCTGCATGTGGGTTAGTGGGGAGGGAGGCTGAGAGCAGAGCCGGCGCTCAGATAGCGCCGGCTCTGCATGAGCCGACAGGGGAGATCCTGAGATCTCCCCTGCCGGTCTCAATATACATAGGCGTGCCGCGGGGATTAGGGTGTGCCCAGGCACACCCGGCACACCCCGTGCGCACGCCTATGGACACCGTTCTACTATGGCCGGCATTACGTTTTTCAGCAATTTGAGCAACAGTAGCATTTTTGTGTGATTGGATCAGACAGGCTAGCCTTCGCTCCCCATGTGCACTAATGAGCCTTTGGCTCCCATGGCCCTTATATCGGTTTACTGATTGTCCTTCCTTGCACCACTTTTGGTAGGTACTAACCACCAGGGCCGTCTTTAATGCGGGGCAAACGGGGCAGCTGCCCCGGGCCCTGTCCCTGCTGGGGGGCTCGAGGTAACTACCCTGTTTGTCCTCTGCCCGCAAACTATGGGGGCCCATCGGGTGGCCCATGCACTTAGGGCCACCCGGTGGGCCTGTGTCAGCAGGGGCCCGGTTGGGCGCTGTGGCGCTTTAACAGCGCAACCGGGCCCTTGCTTTTCGGCAGCACTGGGAGGAAGTGACAGTCGTGCGTCACTTCCTCCCACAGAAACAGGAGCCGCGCCGGAGGAAGGCGGACCAGCTGTTCC